TTCGTCCAGAACGTAGAGAGACCTACAGATGGGTAATACTTGGAATAGCTACTTATAATACCAAAAAAATTAACAATCATACAACAGGATACAATAATAGATATATAAAGGTATTTTATTACCTGAATGCGAGCAAATAATATGGACGAGCACGAACTAGAGTCATGAACGAATATGTAGAGAAGTTCAAATGTTGGTGATATTGTCCCCTATTCTCTTGGCAATTGTGCTATGTGTACCAAGTTGGGTGACAAAGACGGTTCACAAAGTAACGTGGCAGCATTAAAATAAAAAAAAATTTAGAAAACAAAGTCTGAAAACTTGAAAATTAAAGGACATTCTCTCTCTCTCTCTCTCTCTCTCTCTATCTATCTCTCTCTCTCTCTCTCTCTCTCCCCCCCCTATTTCCCCATCCTCTCTCTACCATATTTCCCCCAAATCGAATCCGGAACCAACCCTTGCCTTTCAACCCATTTCCCTTCCGTTCGAACCATTTTCGGCGTCATCTCCATCTTCGGCAGTAGCTGAACTCCGGCACTATGATGTTAAGATGATCCCCATAGTTGTCGAAGGGGAAGTCGTGGCAAAGACCGTCGGATACCACAACAAAATCGGTCGACAGTCTGAGATTTTTGTTCGGCCTCAGGTTTGGAACCAAACCTTCCCTTTCAACCCATTTGAACTACTGCGAACTTGTTCAGTCTGAGGTCATTATGAAATGTTTTCTCCACCCATGACATTTTTGCGATTACATCTATTTTGGAAGTTAAACCTTGCGATTGAAATCCCTGATTTTTTCAAACAAATTTATGTGCTTGTTGATAAACCTTGCAATTGAAATCCCTAATTTTTTTCAAACAAATTTATGTGCTTGATGAGCGAATAGACTCATGTTGATTGTGTAGATTGATTTGTTGTTGTTGTTAATCTGAAATTCATAAATTTTGTTGTTAAAGAAATTGACTCTAGCATTTGTAAAGTTAGTAAATTCCTTTTGAGGCATAACAAAATGGCTATGGGAATCTGAAATTTGGTGTATTATCCATATATGTTTTGCAAATCTGAAATTTGGTGTTGGAGTCATATATCTTGCTGTAAATTTCCATTTTCCATTCAATGGTTTTCTCTGAGATGCTAACGTTCCCATCTTTTATGTTTGGCATTTGGTAGAAGGAACACAGAATGCCAAGAAAGAACTCTAGAGTTTGCCACGGCTGCAGGAGTGTTGGACACTTCTTCAGTGATTGCCCGATAAAACGTCATTGCCCACATTGTATGCATGGATTTCAAAAGTTTTTCAAGGTTGAAAGGGACACTGTTAACAAAGGCAAATTTTTCAAATGTTGCAGTGTGAAGTGCGGGTTTTGGGAATGGTGCAAAGATGGAGAAGCAATTGGTGAATCTAGTAACGACAGTGCAACTTTGGCTAAACAAGTAGTCCACGATGCAGTTGACGATATGTCGTGAATGTTCCAATCTCAAGTTCGGATAAATAACGAAGAAAATCTTTTGATCTCTGTGAATGTGAATGTGAACGTGACGGTCCATCGAGAGAATCGCCTGTCAAAGGGAAAATGAAGGGGAAAGACAAGCTTAATTACTGGTTTATGGTGTTTTATGGTGTAATGGCTCTTTTGTGTTAAGTAGAGGAGTGTTGTATATTTGGCTAATTAGTTTAGTGCAAATGGGGGATTTTTGTTGAACTAGCAGTGCCTTGCTAGCACATATTCAAATGGTGGAGGATTTAGGTTGACCTAGTAGTTCATTGTTGCAATGCACATTTCATGTTGGTGCGTTTCATCCCCCAGCATTTGTCATTAACTTTTGTGGTTTCATCGATGATATTTAACTGGCCTCTTTTGTTTTTCTATCTTTATTGTGAATTATGACTTTGATGTGGTTCATCAATAAAATACATAGTATTCAATCTTGAAACAGGATTCCAGATTTGCCACTACAATAACATGTTACATTGATGAAGGCATTCTAAATTTCCATGCGGAAGTGGTGACAAAGGAGAGACAAACTAGATAACAAAACTACTACCACACTGGCAACATGATTGATCCAGAAAAAATGGTAGCACAACACAAGACCAAGCCTACCAGACTTTGAGAATTTCAAAAATTGTACACAACATGAAGAAAGGGAACCATAGTTCAGATATCACGAACAAGGGCAAAATTTTCTACATTTCATTTATGTTCAAATCAAATCTTATAAATATTACAAGAATGTAATGACACTACAGCTTATAGAAACCTAGACTAGAATAACAAAAACTCCTCAATAGTAACCCGACCCTTAGACCTTGTGTTGATAACAAAATGCTGTGGGTACTTCCTCAACAACATGAGCAACCCATACAATGGTTTTCCATTGGCTTCAACATAAGCAACACTAAGGCATCTTCGTCAATAACACCGCCTCGAGCTACATTTATGATGCGGACGCCCTTTTTCATCTTTGAAAAGGTTTCATCATTAAATACGTAGGGGACCAAAGTATAGAAATTTATTCTAGCCAAGCTCACACAATTTGAATAGGTATAAATGGTGCAACTACTCCTTATGATAATAAATTAGAGTATATAATACCTTTTTATTTTTCGATATTACAATTAAAGCTCACCTTCATTGAAATCCACTCATACTAATGTAAATATTGTATTCCATCCTGCAATAACAGATGAAGTTTAGTAACTTAAATAAGCAAATTTTAAATATAGGGCCGATTAAGCAAAGTCTGGGAAATGAAGTTCTCACAACACTAGGTTAATGAGGAACAATCTGCATTGATTGGAACAATCCTAGTTTGTGAAGAATTTTAATTCAATCATGTCTTCACCAACCTAACTAGTTTACGGGTCGGTGAAGAACACATACCTAGAAATGCACAAATTTAAACTTTTATAATACATATCTATAATTTCTAACCTAAAACGAATTAAAGGAAGAAAAATAACCATAAATTTGAAAAAAGTTTGATAGGTCATGTTCGAACCTTGAAATGAGACTTCGACTTAAAATTCAGGTAGCGACAAAATTATAAACACAAGGCATGAGAGTTTTTCTTCAAGCCACAAGGAACAGAAGCTAGCAATGCAATAATTTTTAAGATTTTGGACATGTCCCATGCTTCTGGACATTAAAAACTTTGAAGCAAGTGCAGTCTTATACTTAAGCAATACTTGTTTGTAGATGCATCCCAAGAATTTAATACCTGTCATCTCTAGAAGAGATGGAGGATTGGTCTGTAGGATCCTCACAACTTTATTGGTTTGTAGATTTACTACTTGAAAACACAGAAAAAGAGATGGAGGATTTGCATATTTATCACCGAGAAAAACAAATACCTATTTTAATTGTCGTGATTGAAATATATGTGTACCTTAGGAAATCGAATTAACGTTTGTGGTGGTTCTGGGGATCAACATAGTACACGGCACTTGTTGAGTGAACGTACGGCTCATCCCATCACCCTACATCACATTCTTCGCATTAATATCGTTAGAAATTCTTACAAAACTTAGCAATTAATATACGAACCAGTAGTAGTTGCGAAAACGAGAACGGCATTGGCATCGGCATTAGCATTGGCATTGGCATTGAGTATTGCAGATCAGGTGGTGGCGAAACCTCGGCCACACCATCCGGGATACAACTATTCCTCGGGGTTGGTCTCTTTCCTTTTGCGTGGCTCGATCGCACCTACAAGTATACCATAATGAATTTCATGTATTGTATAAAATGAAGTGAATAAAAGAGTATAACGTACAAGTATACCTTTGATGTGGTAGTGTTCGCTTCCAAAGGCCCTTTTCTCCATTTTGTCCTCGGGGCTCCTTTTTTCTTCGATGGTATCGAATCTTTCACAGTGGCACTACCTTCATTTCGCGATGCAGTGCAATGTAAATTGATATTACTGCAAGTACTCGAGGGGGTCAAACCGAACTCCTTGTTTTGAAGGTATATCCAATCCATGATCGCACGATACCTCCCTTCGTCATCTGCTGCAAGGTCCGCTACCGAGGTAAATGCCTTACACATCTCGTCATAGCTCAATTGTGCAGGAGTACTGACCAAATTGTCGTAATTAACAGCAACCCTTGAGTGCACTCTACTAATGTCTTGTCTCCACCTGCGCAGTATATAGCGATCTGGCATCACACTCACATCATTACGTATCAATACCGCGATTGCATGCCTACACATTATACCCCGAAATTCGAACAAGTGACAACTGCATATGATTTCGCAGTTCTTCCTATTGAAGGACACCTTAAAATATTTTTTCTTTCGTATCTCCCCGCAGACTATGTCCTCTCGTACCTCATGCATCTTCCCCATATGTCCTTTTGAAACAGACATGAGGTCACAGTAAACCTTCCCTGTGAATTCAACTTGGACTTCCCTGAACTTCGAAAGTGTGTACAATGCCTGATATTGCTTTTCCATTTCATAAGTTGTTGCACATGGGAGCATTTGAGAGAAGGACTTGAAATCGGCCTGAAATTCCTTCTTAAACTTATTCCGTAGTGCTCGTTCGTACTCTTCGACGAACTGTTTCAACGATATTTTATCGTGCACATAACCGTCGAAGAAGGCATTCATACTTTTACTTCTCTGCGTTGTTGACATACCAGCCCAGAAATTTGTTTTTAAGAAACATGGCACCCAACGTCCTCTATTTTCATACAACCCGGACAACCAAGCATTTTCGCTTAAGTCATATGTATCAAGCATCGATTTCCAACCTTCCTCAAATTCTTCAACAGATTGCGAGTCGTAGACCAATACGTGTATGGCCGAAAATATCGAAGACTTGTCCACGTGATATCCAAACTTTTCTGGCAACTTTTTTAGTATGTGCCACAAACACCATCTATGTTTCGTATTAGGGAAAACTATCTGAATTGCATTCTGCATTGCCCTATCTTGATCGGTGATTATTCCATGCGGAGCTTGACCATTCATGCACTTAAGCCATGTCGTGAACAACTACACAAATGTATCTGTGTCCTCATTCGATACCAACCCACAACCCAGCAACGTTGATTGCCCATGATGATTCACGCCAACAAAAGGAGTGAAGGGCATATCGTATTTATTAGTGAGGTAGGTTGTATCAAATGTCACAACGTCCCCGAACTCCTTATATGCTTGCCTGCACCAATTATTAGCCCAGAAGATATTTTTGAGATGCGAATCATCATCCAAGTCTACTAAAGTAAAATCCGGAGCATCGGGATTGCATTTCAGAAAAGTAAGTCTGTATTGCAGCTGCGTCACCCTCACCAAGTCTTAGTCGTCTTACCTTTTCGATATAGTTCCGACAATCTTTTTCAATACAAGTCATATTCTCGTAGCCACCAGCCTCAACAACTGCGGAGTTAAAACTTTTATGCAATGGTATTCCTGCTATGTCATTCACTTCGAGCTTTCGTTTCACGTGTGCCGTCATTTTTCGATTGCATCTATATAATCTAGACTTAGTAGGACTTGTCTTATGGTTGTGGTCAAGATGGACCGCGTTAATTTTCCAATAACCATGGATATCTAAAGACGCTGAGATCCTAGCTTTGCAACCCGTTTGAATTGTTGGTTGCGGCTTTAAAGAAGTGCTTGTATTACCAGTTCTTCGTCCCTCCCTACTATACGTCAACATGATATATCTCAAAACACTGTCATCATCTCTCGTAGAACTCCACTTCCTAACTGGAAAACCCACGGCATAGACATTTCTTGCATAAAAATCATATACTTCTTTTTCATCATTAAATTGCATACCAACCTCCGGCACAGTTAAACCATCTCCTACCGTATCGTTTTCCACGACATTAACATTGTCCTCCACATTCTCAATGTCTGAATCCATGAACAAAACATCTTCCATATTTGGTATTCCTACAAAACACAAACAACAGCATTATTAATTTTTTAAATGTCCAACCTTCAGTCCAAATGTAGCTCAGTTTTGTGCACATGTGTAGTTCAAATTTGCCATATATTTCATCACCCAGTACGTCTTCCATAAAAATCCAGTTTGTCGTTTCTTTCGTTTAATTACACCACATCACCTTCAAGCACCCCGAACATCATCTCACCACCAGCATCTTTCACCGTCGTGACCTTAGCCACTGAGCTAACCATATCTGACGAAGGTTTTCAAATTCGAAACCAACTTGGATTTGAGAAACTATGTCTACAAATATACTAATTTATTGAAATTATGTCTATATCTTTTATCAATGTCTATAATTTAAATTTGACATGCTCCATTAATTAATAATTAAGACAGTACTTACTTTATTTCAATTTTAATGACATTTCATAAACGAAATAGACATGGAGGATAAGAACAGACAATACCAACAAATTCATACCGTCGGAACAAGCCGCCTAATTTCGGAGCATCGGGCGCCTATGGCTGGTGTGGAGAACTTGGAAGAAACACGCAAGTTTATTATGCCTGCAGCAGCTAAGAAGAAGATAATGGACCAAAAATTCCAAAACACTTCACTGGTTTCTTGGGGGGAAAAAAACTTCAGTAACACCGTTCTATATGATTCGACCGTCGACTAACAAATAATTTCAATTTTTGGTGATTATCATTTTTTCCCCTGAACAAGCATTATTTTCTGGTGATTATCTTTCGGGACGAAAGGGGATTGGGTTGAAGATGAGCTGATTGGGAGAAATGAGGAGAGAGAAAAAGCATTTGTTGTCTTTTTTTAATATCCCTATTTCCCCAATCACGTGCTATGCTTTCCTCTCCATTTTGGCGCCTAAACCAGCCTGCCAAAATTCAATCGGAACCATCCAATTCCCTTCCATCTTAGCCGTCCATGTCATCATCCAAATTTGTAACCTATCTTTGTACAAAGAGCATTATTGATTCTCTTGGATATTAGGGTTTTTCATTATATTTGAATTTTAATTAGCTATGGCTGGTGCACAGGACCGGCCTTTACATTTTAAGGGCCTATAAATATAATAATGAATAAAAATGCAATTATTAAATAAAAATATTCATAGTCATGAAAGTAATGAATTTAAAATCTTCAAATGTCTTATTAAGGTGCTGGTTGGTGCCCATTGTTTTAAAGGTCATACTACATGTACATAAAGGTTGATACATGATAAATGTAGTTTTTTCACTTATTCGAGAACCTAAAAGATAATTTTTTTGGATAAAATACTACCAAACTTGTGGTATATTGCATCTTGAAGGTAAAACTCGATGTTTGCTAAAGAATTGGAGAAAAGAATGCAAAAATAATAAAAAAGGGGGTGAAAATAAAAAATTGAGGACTAAATTGTAAACAATCCATAGATGAGACGGCAACAAGATGATGATCGAAGATGCCAAGGATTTAATCGAATACAACCCGAAGATAAATAAATAAGAGTACAAGAGAAAAATGGCTTAAATGAAGCAAATTTAAAGTTCGGGTACTAAAATGCAAATACGTAAAAATTGTGTCGAACCTTAAGATGAAGATTCGAGAGTATTAGGGGTCAATTGAAAGATGAAAGAAGTCAAAAGGATGAAATATAGTGAAAATATTATCATATATCAACTTTCGGACGAAAAGATTTATGTTTCGAATTTTCAATCTCTGTTTGAAACACATTTTTGACTTAACAAACGTTCGAATTGGAAAAAACTGGTGTTTTGGAAAGAATATATCTCTTTGAGTTATCTTTTCAACGCATTTTAAATCAATTCAATAGGATATTGGGAAATAAATTTATGACCAAAAACTGAAGGCTATTTGACGGAAAAAAATTATACCTATGCGGTCACATAAGTTTAATTAGATGCAACAGCATCTATGCCTCCAGAGCTCTCGGAACCAACTATTGTTTCTTCTATGTGGCCTCTTCAATTTGTATTATACGACGGCATAGTAATTTTTTTAGGCAAGATTTTGTTTCTTTTTTCAATTGAAACTCTACTTTGGTAACAATCTTTTGAGCATCCTTAGAATATCATAATTCGTCCAGAACGTAGAGAGACCTCCCTAGACCTAAAAATACCTATATTTCATCTGTTTTGGAGGTAAAATACGAGGCTAGATTATTAACGTCAAAGGAATATTGCAAGACTCTTAAAAATTATTCATCCAAAATCAAGATTTCATTGAAGAAACTGGAGCCATTTCTTCGTTCCCGAGTGTCAAGGACCGCAACTTTACATAGCCCCTTGACACTATCGCAGCCGCAGTTTGCCTAACTTCGGCCACACATTGTAAATATTACGTCAAGTTTGAGTTGTAATTTTCTTTTCATTGTAATAGTTATTTCAATTGTAAAATAGCTCTGATATTGGTAAACGTTTAGTATGATTTCTCGTCTTTTAAACGTCTACTCCCGTCACTTGGGTTTTTGTTCAGAATGTATTATAGGGGGTATTAGTCATTCAAAAATCTTTCAAGCTCACTGGTGTCCGCCTCCTGCACCAGCATTTGTAATTTTCTGCTTTCATCAATTGTAATGTTCAGTTTTCATCAATCAATGTTCAATTTACTTTCAATGTATTCAAATTCTCTATTGTAAGCTTTCTACAAAATTGCAATCAAATTTTCTTTCGTCCCGACGCGATCGAGAAAAGGCGGAAGGTAGTCTAGCGGAGCAGAATACTGCCGCACGGTATCCCTTTTTGTACCAAGAAGAAAGGCATCCCGTGAAAGTTGGTATCAGAGCTGCGGCTCACGACCTTCGATAAGAAAGCTATGGATCCAATTACATCACACACCACTGAAGTAAGAGCCTCAAAAGAAGGGTGCTACGAAACAGCGCGTGGATGCGCTTGATGAGACAACTACTAGATTGTGCTATGCTATGGAAGGTCTCGAGGAAAAAGTCGAGATGGCCGAATCTGAGATTTGTGGATTACACATCTAATTGGATGAAAGCCAAAGAGCTTGCGCAGCAATGACGGAAGCTGCTGCAATCATTCCTGATCTGCAGGATGAAATGGAAGCGTTGAGAGCTCAATTGCGAGTACTCCAACGTGCGGTGGGCAATGGGCAAGCTTCCGCACCCGAGTATGCTCCTAGACTTAGAATTCCTGAACCGTGTACCTACGAAGGGGCACGTGATGCAAAAGAAGTCGAAAACTTCTTGTTTGATATGGAACAGTACTTTCTAGCAGTTTCGATCGAAGATGAAGCTAGAAAGGTAACCACAGCTACCATGTATCTGGGTGGAGATGCAAAACTATGGTGGCGAACCAAATATGCGGACATTCAGGCCCATAGGATTCGAATTTATTCTTGGGATCTCCTCAAGGAAGCGATCGGATCGCAGTTTTTCCCGGAAAATGTCGAGTATCAGGCTCAACGGGCTCTTCGAGACCTGAAACACACGAGCTCTATCAGGGAGTATGTGAAATCCTTCTCAGGGCATATGCTGAATATTCGAGATGTGTCAGAAAAGGATAAACTCTTCACCTTTATTGAAGGGTTGAAATCGTGGAAACGTGCGGAACTTCAAAGACAGAAGGTTGCTGATTTAAGCACGGCCATGGGAACCGCTGAATGCTTGAGCGACTACCAAACAGAATCTAGAAAAGATCGACCTTCGGGGAGTAATCAAGCAATTGGAGGTGGTAACAAAACTTACAGACCCAGCTCGAACCCAAATGGGAGAGAGAGTTACTCTCAGAATAGAGAAGGAGCCTATCAAAGCACCCATGGCTTTCAGGGAAACTATCATAACAGCCGTCAGGAAAATTTTAACGGCAGTAATAGTAACAACTGGAACAAAGGAAAAGCAACGGAGGGCCGAACTGATGCCACTCCCAAATTGAAGTGCTTTTTATGTGAAGGACCTCATCGGGTGTCGGAGTGTCCTCAGAAGCGGATGGTGAATGCATATTGTCAGTTAGCAAGTGGCGGGCCAAGTTCAAAACAAGAGGCCCCACAAGCTAATTGTCACAGTGAGACTAACTCTGAAGAGGATGAGGAAGTAGTTGGGGCATTTTCACATCGGTGCAACACACTATCGCATCGGGTTGTTGAAAAGGATGATGTCCCATTGAAAGAGGCAAAGATGGAAGAATTGAAGGCTCGTATTTGTAGGGCCAAAGGCTTAATGTTCATTGATGTAAAAATCAATGGGAAGCCAATCAGGGCTATGGTGGATACTGGTGCTATCCACAACTACCTTGCATGTACCCAAGTAGAGCGGCTCGAACTTGTTCTAGAAAAGGGTAGTGAAAAAGTCAAAGCAATCAACTCCGCTACTCAACCAATAGCTGGAGTAGCGAAATCGGTGATGATCAAAGCAGGTCCTTTCGAGGGAAGGACAAATTTATCTGCAGTTCAGATGGATGATTTCAAGCTTATTCTAGGATTGAAATTTTTTCGGGATACTAAGACAGCAGTGTTGCCATATTCCGATTCATTAATGATGATGGGTAATAAGCCGTGTGTCATCCCTACACAGGTTGGGAGGTTGGGCGAGAAGAGTATCTTAGCCATGCAATTTAGTAAGGGTTTCAAGAGAAATGAACCCTCTTTTTGGTGCACTCTTTGATTAGAGGAGATCGAAGAAGTAAATGGTCCTATCCCAAAACCCGTTAAAAGGCTTATTCGAGAATTTGAGGATATCATGCCGGAAGAATTACCAAAGAAATTACCACCAAGAAGGATGATTGATCATGAGATTGAACTCATTTCAGGCGCCAAACCTCCCGTCAGGGCACCATACCGTATGTCTCAGCCCGAGCTTGAAGAGCTTAGGAACAATTGGGGGAAATGCTGGAGAGTGGAATCATTGTACCTGCGAAGTCGCCATACGGAGCTCCTGTATTGTTTCAGAAAAAGGTCGATGATTCTCTTAGAATATGTTGCGACTATCGAGCCTTGAACAAGATCACTGTAAAGAATAGCTATCCTATCCCACTGGTTGCAGATTGCTTCGATCGACTGAGTCGGGCGAAGTATTACACAAAAATTGATCTTAGGTCCGGATACTGGCAAGTTCGGATCAAAGAGGGAGACATAGCAAAAACTACGGTGGTAACCAGATATGGAGCCTTTGAATTTAAAGTGATGCCTTTTGGTTTAACAAACGCTCCAGCAACATTTTGTACTATGATGAATCAGGTACTTCACGGGTTCTTAGATGATTTTGTCGTGGTG